AGGAAGAACAAACCCAAGAAGAGATGGAGAGAATAAATGGAGTAGTTAAGAAGATAAGAAAGATACCTGACTAAAAGGCACACTACAGTGAGTGAACTATTTACCTTTCCATGCTCCATTTCTTCTGAAAAGTTGTTAATTTTAGATGGAATTCTAGAAAATCTACTAATCCAGGCCCATTATGGTTAAGGATCCATGTGAATAATAACAACCAAATCCAAATCCAAATCCGACAAAATAAGTAGCTTCTGAAAAGGATTCATTGGTCTTAAATCATCATTCAGTAAAATGGATCTGAGATTGGAAATGATAAGCCCATCTTTCATCTCTGAGTAATAATATATTTTTGTTTCTTTATACCAACCACATCATTATATTGATCCAAACTTTTGGTTTAGGTCCCCAGGCAGAGCCAGTCAGCCACAACCAGTATCGGATGGCAATTATTGATCTAACCCTACCCAGTGGCCCACGGCCCAACCCTGTGTTCTTTCTTTCTTTTTTCTTTTCTTTTCTAATCAAAATTTTAGATTGACCGATGCCAGCTTGTTCTAAACTTGAGCTGGGCTTGGATGGGATGGATGCTAACGTCCTCCAGCCCAGCTTAGTTTGAGTTGCCATGAAGTTAGGCCAACCTGGCTTCCTTGATTCCATAATGGGCCCTAATACGAGGACATACTTTTCTCACATTAAGATTGTTTGTAATCTACTTACCTACCATGCTCCTCCTACTTCTCTCTTATATGTCCCGTCTGATACGAATCCCCTTGGTAAAAAGGCTGCAATCCTCTTTTTTCTTTTGTCTTCTTTTTGCTCTTTTCCTTTTTTTTTTTTCTTTTCCTTTCTTGAGTTTAGTACATAGAACTATGTACTCTGAAAATCGTTAAACTCAAGTCAATTGGGTAGCCAGACACGTAAAGCGTATTTAGCCATCCAGGTCTGGACGTTTTTAAGTAGACCCAATGCAAACAATGCATTGGGCACCTCAGCCCACAGCCCATAAAGGAGGAGGACCTTTGGGTTGCACGTGAAGTGGGCCACAGCCCCACCAATGTAAAGTCCTCCATAACTCTAACTTTTAGTTTGGATGTCAATTTATATGGATGAATCTTCAAATCTTCAGTATATGGACAAAGGTGCGTGGAAAGGGAATTGGGGATGAAACATTGTGCCCCTTTTCCGTAAACTATCGAATTCTGTAGTTTGGCTTCAAAAATGGCATCCTGTAGAATGGAGAGAGTAACCCAAGTTATGGGTAGAATCAGTTAATCAGTTGAAATCTGCCGAGTGTGGGGGCAGAATTAGAATTAATTTGGTCCTGTTTTAGCCCTGACCACAGCTTCAAAGACAGAACCCAGCTACATTGGTTAGTTGCCCAAATATCATTAATTTAAATGGCTTGCAGATTTGATAGTGATTTAAGCTGAGCTCTTGTTAATTCATTTTCTTCATGAAATAGAGAGGGGAAGGAAAAGTTATTTCCCTTTCTTTAATACAAATTTGGGTGCATCTCTAGGCAGATTTCTAATTAAATGGTTTTGATTGTCAAATTCCTTCAAATGTAAGGGTCTTGGTGCGGGTCACCCAAGAGAAGAATCGGATCTTGATGTGGATAGGAATGTTGTAAAAGGAATTAGTCAAAAGCCCCTTTTGAAATACCTTTGTACGGTTTGAGCAAACAGCATTCCAAGTGAGGTGGAACACCTCTCTCTCTCTCTCTCTCTCATTCGTTTGAATGCCAAAAGGAACTATACACAATAGTTATTTGAATGCTTTTTATTCCATGTGTTTGCGGGTAATATTTCAGTGAATCAGAGAGAAGTTGTAATTGTTAAAGGTGAGCCCGGGGGCTGAATACGATTGAATCTCAAAAATCAAAATCCTTTTCCTTCTCTTCTTTAACGCCATGAGCCATCATCACATGTTATGCTGCTCAAAGTGATTTCTTTTAGACGCATGGACCCTCCTAATATTCTCTAGTGACTAGCACTGACCAAATTCTAGGTACTACTGCATAGTTTTGGCTTAGCAACATCAGATATAACTTTTTTTTTTCCTGAGATCTAACTTACTTTCCATAAGAGAGCCCCATACATACATACAGTAACAGCTTAGCAGGATTTGTTGGCCAAGCAGAGCACTAGTTGGATAACCTTTGCTCTCAAGCAGACCCAACTTTTCAGCTTCTGGTTCATGTCAGCTCTCTAATGAACCCCCCGAACTGATCAAATAGCATTTCTTCCTTGAGCTTTTTTAGTTTGGCAACAGACATTTTCCAAGAATCCAACACAACGAGAGAAGTGATTGAGTACAAAAGAATCATGGGAATAGAGGCCAATTTGTTCATGTGGGCAATGCATTCAGTTGTATTTGTATCCCCATACCATACAGGTAAACTTCTGTACAACAAGACAAGGGGGACCCCATCGGATTGCACCTGGAATACTTGTCCTTGGGGTTTCTAAAATTTAATACAGGTCGTCTAAGTGTGGAATTTCATGCGGCAGGAAAATCACATGGACGATCCATCCTAGTGTTTTCTTTGGCCGCATGGCAACGTGATCGTGTGTGTATATGTATACTATAGGGGAACCAATGCTGGATTTGGATGAAGCATTGTACACATGGCCAATCTAGAGTTTGTCTCAAGACGAAACAAACCATGCTAAACGCTTGTGTTCATTGCTTAGGCTGCGTTTGGAAATGATGCAAATGTAGTGTAAATTCCGGCTTAGGGTAAATTTGCACTTTGATTCACTTTTGCATGTATTTGGCAACATTACATTTATGCATTGACAAATGACAGACCAATGCATCTTTACATTGATAATAAGATGTAAAAGTACATCAATAAAAAACAAGTAAATTTGCATTTAAATGGGCTTGTGATAAAAAGAAAACATATGCTTTATTGAAATTTGATGGTGCGCAATCCGGTTGGTCCTAGCTGCCGGTTATCTTGCCTCTGATGGAATTGGAGGTGCCTGAAACAAGGAAGAATTTGGAGACTTCCGGCGAGGAACCCAGTTGGAACACTCCGAAGCTCAAGTTAGTGCTCTTGAGAAGGCAAGGGAAATGAAAAATTTCAAGACCAGAAAGCGCAAGAATCACATTACCCTCTTCTTTGTGAGATGGGGGGCCTTTTATAATCACCCTGCACACTTACTTCCATACCTCTGCCAGTTCGGACATCATTACCTCTGCCAGATCGGGTGTCATTTCCTCTGCCAGCTCGGGTGTCATTTCCTCTGCCAATTGCCAGTTCGGGTGTCATAACCTCCACTGCCAGCTGCCAGGGCTGCCTCTGTCCGTCTGAGATGGCGGTGGCAGGTGGCCGTTGGAGGGCATCTGTCATGTGTTGCACCCCTAATTAGTCAGGTGCGCCACCTCCGTGTACGGGTCTCCTGGGCGTCAGGTACGGTTGTTCAGTCAAGAGACTTGGAGCCGAAGTGGTGTTTTAGGTGAAGTCTTGAGCTCAGATAGAAGTGTGGCCTGAATTGCCTCTGGGTGGGCAGTTCGGATTTTTGCCTTTTGTGCTTTTTGTAAGGCTCAGGACCTCAAAGGGAGAGCTCGGAACTCTTTAGCTCGGGGCCCGGGCTGTAGGTTCCTTCATTGGGGGAACTCGGGATTTTTTTCCTCGGAGCTCGGGTTGTGGGTCCACTGCCGTGCCGAGCTGGCACTTCTGCCAGGTCACTCTCGGTTGCTTCCACGTGTCGTATGTCCAAGGGGTCGGGTCAAATCTTCCTCCATCAGAATTCATGTTTGCACCCATTATAGCTAAAAGCCTATTTGGTAAAAAGATAAATTTGTCAGTGCAAAATTAACCCAATTTTATAATTTATATGAACCATTTTACACTCTACATATTTGCATCGTTTCCAAACACAGCTTTATTGACCGTTGGTTGTCTCAATTTTCCAACCAGCAAATAGCGGTAAAACATGAGGGACCAGCCCATTAGGAAACTTATTTTGGGCTGCAAGGGTATCCCTATTTGTCCCAATACGGATTCCATCTGGTTAAGGGTCATCCGAACAAGATCCATTTATATTTGGATCAAATACAAATCCCCCCTATCCAATTTATGAAGAGCTCTCTTACTCCCTCCCCCGTATGATACTGGAAAGACATGGTACCCAAAGAGTTATGACCAATGAAAGTACCCCGTGAATTTTGATTAATACCACCTGACTGGTCCAATCACCTCTTTTAAGATACCCATTGATTGGCTGTAACATTTTTTGATATCATAGTCGAACACTAAGAGCTCCCAAGCCAGTAGGGATGTCTGATCTCTGATCGTTTCTACCCAGGCCCGGTCCATCTTGCAAATTTCCAGGCTTAGGCCTGGGTCTAGGCTTATTTTTCAATCTCTCTCCAGCCCATGATCATACCCCCATGTCCACCAGGATAAGGCGGGATATACCAGGAACTGACAGTGATAGGATACAAGGCAACGATGCCAGACTGTTAAAAGCCCATTTGGCTATGATTCTATTTAAATATAGGGAGAATGACCGATAACTCCAGGGTCAGAATTTATAGGCTCAAAGTACATTTGGGATAAGTGCCAGTTCGAAATTGATGCCAATTCACAAGCGAGTATGGATGCATAGAATGTGGTTTTTAGACCTTCTGAATATTTATAGCTTTACAGTGGGAATCAGAAATCTGCATTAGGCCTGTCCGTACTTTTCCGTTAAATATATACTTCTTACATGAAGTAGGTTGGACTGCGGACTGATGACGGCTCAGACTCGTAGCAGAGAACTGGGATCAAATCTGCCACCAGGTTGGAGGGTCAAGGGAATGGGGGAGGGCTACTCCTGTTATGGAGAACCATGACCCCCCCACCCCAAAAGAATCACTTCTATTCGATCCGAGAAAAAAAGACTTTGATTACAATCAAGTGGCTTTTCAACCCAATGATACTTTATTTATTGTGACGATTTAGGATGATTACAAATCAAAGTGATATATGAATTTACAAGGATGACAAATTAAATAACCACCACGGACTTTTTCATTCAGGTGGTAACGCATCAAGCACACAATACAATTTGAATCAATGTGAATAAACCATGGACTCATTTGAAGGACACCTTACAACAGATCTTACAAACAGAAATGCCAGATTTTTTTTTGTTTAGAATAAAAGGCAACCCAGCTTCTCTGTAGAGGCAATGTAAAATTTGACAACCAGGCCATGGACAAGAATTGGGCATAGATAAACTGTAATTCAAACCATCAGGGAAACCCAACTCCTTTTCAGTAACTATATCACAAAGAAGATGAAAACCATCAGGAAAAAGATCAGAATGGCAAATATCTTGATTAAAAGCCACCTGTTTGATGATATCTGATTCAAATGCCTTAAAAGAGCATTGCGAGCACCTTCCACGTTTGCCAAAGATTCATCCATGTTATCATCAATCCTGGACATGTTTAATCAGGTGGCTTTTAATGTACTAGCAAAATATAAATAAGGTGAGCTAATTTTCCTAACCTGATTGATAAATAGAATAATATGAAAAACTGACAACTTGGTGCTGGGCAAAAATTTGAGCAAGAGTACTGCTCCATGTTGAACCAGCATGAAGCAAGCTCTATATTTGGGGTCATCAGGTGCCCCAACTTGGGGAAAATACTGATCCATTTCAAAGTTTCTTTTCGTCAATGGTCTCACAAGAAGATGAAATGAATCTTGTAGTAAAACTTGAAAATAAAACCTTCAGATGCGAGCAGTAAGAAATAACCTGATGGCAAGTTCTCCTTGTTGAGCAACCATTGTTGCCAAGTGTGTAAATATTCCACTGAGTTCAGAAATTGTAGACTCCACATTTTGAAGAGCAAGTGCTCGGCTTTGTGTGTAGTTCTCTTGTCGTGGAACAACCTGTTGTAACAAGGATGCCTCCACATGGTGGGATGGAGTACTGTCAACAGCTAACCTTCGCCTGAGCAGGTTTAAAAAATTTCATTGGGAAGATATACAATATAGTTATGTTAGATAAAACAATTCAACGATTTCGTTTTCAAAGACAAATTGAAATGACAGTTATATAATCTGAGAGACACAACTTCTTAACAAGGTATTATTGATTATTGAGGCAAGCTTCCAGAAAGTAGAGTATTATATTCAACCAAAATAGAGGAAAATGGTATAGAATCCATGGATTGTAAAGGTTAGTTCTATACAAGAAGGTAAAAATAGCTCTTGAAATTAAAAGAAAAAAACCGTAGTAAACATCTGTAATCCACATAAGAAAGCCCTTCACTCGGCATTAAGTGGACCTGTCCATTGTACAATTCCAATCCCACAGAATCCATTTAACCCAAACAAGACCATATGAACTGGAAAGTTCAATCATACAATTGCTTGATCCACCTGGCTCACAGCAGTCCATCTGTAAAACAATTGCTCCCTCATAATTGACCTACTTCACAGGATTGACTTGGGGCTAGAATGCTGGTCAAAACAGTTTGGACACACCCTCCCCCCTCCTCCCAAGTTCGGTTTGTGCCCTGGTTTTACAAGGAAAATAACTTTTACTAGAAGCTTATCAAAGATTCTGTCCTCTTTTTCTTTTCAACTAAAAAGCTTATATTATTACTTCTTATGCTTCCTTTCAGTATTCAAATCAATTTTACTAAGACTCAAGCAAAACCTACTTTTTTAGCAAGATCAAAAATTTTACCTGAACTGGTTAAGTCTGTAACCAGTCCACCCTCCCCAAGACCTCATAGAGGTAGGACCAACATTGGGTAATGGCCTTTTTATACCTTGTTAACCAAGGTAAGAGAGAGAGAGAGAGAGAGAGAGAGAGACAACGACGACGACGACGACGACGAACAGCAGGTAAAATGTAAAACTCAGTTAGTATTCCAATCCTAAGAAGGACAAGAAGTCAACAACTTATTAGTGCAAGCTCTAGTTGGTCGAGAAGTTAACTTTTAGAAAATATATAAATGATAAAGCATTTTCTTTTCTTTTGAGGAAAGTTTAACCAAATTTCATTAAAAGAAGAAGGATTACATGAGAAGATGTACACATTTCATTAAAGCATCTTCTTGCAAAGAAAATCAAATAGTAGACTATATCAACATAAAACACAATAAGATGAAAAGCTTTAATGCATCAGCCAAAGAACAAGAAGATGCAACCAAAACTTTTGATAAGGCTTAGGACTAGAAGTCATTTGATAATGTCTGGAATTGCTGAACTAAGTGGCTTATTGCCTTGTCTTTTAGTCAACAACATAGTTATATAATAAAATATGTATGGGTATGGTAATCAACCCAACATGCCAATGTGGCACATTCAATCATTAAGGAGCTTGCAACCTACTTAATGATTTTTTCACTAAAAGACAAAGTCATAAAGTTCAATCACTCTGTTAACAAAAAAACCCTTCAACTTACATGCACAAAAGGAATGAACATAAGGCTCAAGCTTACAGAGACAAGGGAAAGTTTGAAAGGATTAGAATGGAAAGCATTATTACTGAAGCACATTTATACATATCTGGGGAAAATACTAAAAATTTATCTTCCTCTATAATGGTAAAAACAGCTAAGTTAGAACAAAAATTGAACAAGTAGATCTAGGTATAGCTATTACAGTGGGACTAAACTATTTTAAAACAAAGCCTCAATCAAAAACCCTTAAATTGACTAGCATGAAAATCCAACCATGCTGATGAACAAATAACCAAACTCTAAAGTAGGGGCAATCTTTTTCAGCCATGCCTGGCCCGACCCAGAAATTTTGGGATTGTGCCTAGGTTTTGTGTTCAGGCTGAGCTCGGGCTCAGGCCAGCATCAGGTCTGCAAGTTTCTTGGCTGGGCCTGGTTTCCATACTTCGGGCCTGGTTCACACATATTTTCGTATACATTAGCTATACATATTTATATATGTTATTTGTGTCATATTTTATATTATATATAAAAATATTATAATATGACACCTATAATACATTTTATATATAATTCTATATTATATATGCTTAATATTTTATACATAAAATTCATAGGCCTCGACACCCCACTCTAGAGGATAATACCCTGTGGAGTTTTTAAGCAAAATGTTTATCAGTATGAGACCCTAACCAGCAATCGAAACATTTTCCAAAGTCAGCTTTCTTACTGTTTGAATGTCACAAATTCAGCACATGGAGCCAAATCTTAATCATCATGTAATGAAATTTCATCGCAATTGGATGGCTAGAACCCAAAATAAAGTTACTGCAAGGGTTCCCTGGGAGACTGTATGATGTTTTCTGGATAGTACCCTGTTTAGAATGGGCCGGGCCCTGGCTGGGCTTTGCCTTCATAACAATGGGCTTAGGCTAGGCCCGGGCCCAGGCCCGGCCCGCATTATGGGATTAAAAATATAAGCCCGGGCCCGGGCCTACATAGGCCCGGGCTAGGCAGGGCCAAGATTCCGGGCCTAATTATTGCATTTCAGTTCCAAAATTTAACAATTATACTTTTTTTTTCACTTATTGTCGTGGAGACTATAGTACCTGTAAGAAACTTTAAACTTAATATCAAGATAAAAGCTTCTAACATAAAAGAAATTAAATAATTATACCTTGTAAATTATAAGTTTCAATTGGTGGTTTTGTGAAATTGGTGAGAGAGAGAGAGAGCCGAGAACGGGAAGATTAGGGTTTGGTAATTTCTATATTTCATTAAATACTAAATTAGAATGTGGTAAGGTCTAGGACCCTAGGATTAAAATCTTTAATTTCCTACAAATCTCTATTAATCTCTATTTAATATATAAAACATCAATTATCAAATATTTTTAAATAATATATATACATAAAGATATATATATATATATATATATATATATATATATATATATATATATTGTTTATAAATATCCAGGCTGGCCCGGGCCTAAAAAATTAGGCCCAAGCCCGGCCCTAAATTTTGCGGGCCTGATGCATACCCGGGCCCGAGCCGGGCCTTAACAAAAAACCTAGGCATAAGCCCAGATTTTCCGGGCCAGGCTGAAATGATCACCCCTAGTGGGAACAAAAATCCCCTCAATTTTTGGGCTATGGGTCACTCTGAAAAGAATGAGGCCCATGGCAAGAATTTTATAACGAAACGCCCTAATGTTATTCATTCTTGCCCAGAATGAGCAAGAATTGCAAAAAATGAGGCCCAGAGCTGTGAACCAAACATGGCTAAAATGCTGCAAGCTCTTCTAGCATCCTGCCCACCCCATAATGTACTGTTCCATCCTACCTGAGATGATCTCCAATTGATGCTCAGAATTTTCAAATTCCCTGATATTGTGTTCCTTCCACAAGGTCCAACAACCGGCAAAAGGAACAAGCTTCTGCCATTTTTTAATGCCTCAAAACAATGAAATTTTTAGTTTACACAGTTAATGGAGGTAGACAGTGTATCTATGAGAACATCTTAGAAACAATTAAAGAAACATACTTATATATGCACCTGACCTTATGTCCATCCCTGTTGACAGTGACACATCTACCATGAGCATGTCCTATATGCTGAAAAATCTACATGGAGTTTTGTCTCATATAATTACAATTTAAAGTAGGAAGGCATATAAAGAACAAACCTTAATTGGTTGCCACTTTGAACTCCATTTGAGGGCATTCTGGTTATCAGAAGAAGAAAAACATCATATTGTTGGAAAAGTAACAAAATCAAGCAAATAAGTAAATAACAAAAGCAAAACTTGAGGATGAAAGGCCTAGGCAATAGTGTAGTTAATACCATTAAAACATTTTACAGGATATATCAAACTTTGAATAGTAAATACTTACGGATATACAGAATGTAAAACATAATTTTATCATACAGAAATGGAGAATTAAAGGTTCAAATGTAAAAGCTCTGAAAAATGTACTGGCAAAAAGCATAGATAACTGAGATTTGGTAGTTAACTCCTTTACTGTTCATGTATACTTAACAACATTATAGTGCATAATGCACTAGAGTGTGCACATGGTACATACTCCAATTTTTAAACTAATGGTTTGAGAGAAAGCAAAGGAATATCTACTTTCAGTTATGTGCTGATTGCCTTCATTTAATGGCCTTCTAATAAAATTAAAGAAAAAGGGAACAAAAGCTCAAGGTTGAGAACATAGAAGTCATTAATTAGAGAGATCGAGATGTGGAAATATAATGCTATCCAACATGGAACAATCCATAGCTAAAGTTCAGACAATGCAACATTGATCAATTTAGGAGAACCTAATTTAAGACATGAATAGTCTTCAAAATTGCACCTAATCTATCAAGTACTTTGCCTTATTACCCAAAACAATGACATTGACAAAAACTACTTGAAGCATGAAGCTTGAAAAGAATGGGGGTTTTCACAAAGAGAAGGAGATTAGTTTAGAGCAAGATAGAGACTTTCTACCTTGTAATATGCATTCAGTCAGAAATAAGAAATACACTGTTTTTTGAATTAGTTTTCCTAAAACCAATAAAGATAGGACAATATACATGTTCATGATTATCAGGTTTATGGTAGGCAAAACTGCAGATATACAAGTCTGCAAACTCTCATGATACAGTTAAAACGCTAGAATTTTGGATATCATGTCTTACATTACAGAGTGTACAAATAATCTAAAAACATAAGAAACAGGGATACATGTTGAATCATAATATCTTCTCTCAACATCAATATCAACTCTAGAGTCTTACAACTAGTGCAGATTCGCTTTAGCAGCACTTTATGTGACAATATGAGTGGTGTTGCCTTTAAAGTTGGAAGACCTATTTTAGGCAAACACATATTATAAAATTCAAAGTGCTCCCAATAGCCAACAAAGAACAAGCAACTAACTTCTAAATCTGCAGAAATGCATGCTTGTCACTGTGGCCAACTATGTACTTTGACAAAGTAAGCAAGGAAATACAAAACATGGACTGAGAAACTGATGTGTCATAAGACAATGCTATAATGAATCATAATAAAGAAAGAAATGGTTTTATGATTTTGTTATTTTCTTGGGTTTTCAGCACATGTCACCACAGGAAAGTGCTTGGTTCCTTAGGCTACAATCAACTCCTCTGGCCTTACAACCATTTTATAGAATTTTCTTTTAGTCTAATGGTATTCACTTATCACATAAGACTCTGGATGCAACTCTCCGTTTTGCCCATCCTGCTCTGAATTAGGAACTGCTGGTTGATTATAAAAAAATCTGTGATAGTTTGACACAGAAAATGAAGTGAAGATCCATATGAGAAACAATCAAGATTTAGTAGCATCTCTGTTTGCACATTGTACACAAGAATGCCTATTCATGTTTTGATGTTACACAATAATTTATAGGCATTTGGTTGTGAATGACTGAATACAGCTATCCAACCAAACAACTTAATATCTCTGGAAAAGATTTCATAAACTTTTTATTAGAAGACCATACTATTAAGCCACCACACTTTGCTCTTAGAAAAAATTGAAGAAATATGTTCAAGATAGCATAAAAAGAAAGAGAGCAGCTGAAATCATGTAATGGATCTTGTAGACACATGAATGATGTTTTTTTTTTTTTTTTACTCACTTTGATGGCGGCAAAATGGTAGATGCATTAGATGTATTTGACCAAGGTGGTGGTTCAGTCACTGTCTTTGGATGTTGCAAAAAGGGGTTCTCTCTTGATGAATTTGTGAACATTTGTCTCCTATTTTCATGAGCTTTAATGTTCTGTGAAGGGGAAAAAGAAAATCTATCATAAGGAGATATGATAAAAAAAACAAGTAAAAAGGGCAGCCCAGTGCACAAGGCTCCCACCAATGTGGGGTCTGGGGAGGGACAGATGTACGCAGCCTTACCCCTGCATATACAGAGAGTGTTTCCAAGATGATAAAAAAAACAACTAGAAAAATATAATTCAACATCCCAGGAATTACTGACCTCTGTTCTTGTGGTTAATACATCCTGAAACTGTTTTGTAGTTCCCATAAGTTTGTTCTTCAGGTCATCACAAACAGTAGTTGCATGAACAACCCTATCCTTGGAACAGTTTCCGTCAGTTATTTCCAAGTTTTGAAGGGTTTGCAAATCTGAAAGTGCTATATTCATTGCTGTAATATCATCTTTTATCAAGGCAGTAAGTTCTTGTATTTCCATGACTGGATCATCAAAAATAGATGACCTTTTTGCCACTGCAGAATGGTGAAAAGCTCAGAAAGATGCCAAAATATAGGAAAGACAGGGAAGAGACAGAAGTAATCCAAGTCAGTTTCCAGTTTTGCCCATATCTACATACTGATTCTATTGGTTTCATGAATTCAGTCTTCCACAATGTGGAATGCAAGAAAGATAACTTTTTTTGCCCATGCAGATGGATGAAAAACTCAAAAAAAGTGAAAGGTGTTCATGGAAAGATATGTAGTAATTATAGCTTTATAGCTTTATTTTTCATTTTCATGTGGACATAAATAGCAGGGAACTACTTGGTGCAATGGTAAAATCTTAGGTTGTCAAGGGTGAGAACTCGGGTTTGAGTCTGAGAATGGTCACTTTGTGCCAAAAAAATGCCAAAGATTAGGACCCCATCCAATCCACCCCTCCCAAGACACCAGGTCACTGGGACCAACATTGGGCAATGGCCTTTATGAAGTATAAATTGTAATCTAATGGCTTTTTATAGCAGATCACAAGACCCATTAAGGTTGTACCCATAAAAAAAGGTCCATTAAGGTTGCCTAGGAAGTGAAGATGCATCGGGTTTGCACCAGGTATATATTTCAGGGAAATTGTCTAAAACTCACCATGAGTTTTCAGCATCCCTTAAACTCACCACAACTTTTCAAAATGTCTAAAACTCACCATGTCACTAACTTGACGTTAAACAGACTAACGGGTGTTAATATATTGCCATTTTAACCCTCATATAAAAATATAAAATATATACAAAATAAATTAACGGTTGTTAATATATTACCATTTAAATATTTAGACATGAAAAAAGGAAAAAGTTCAAAAAATATTTTCAAATATAAAATACATAAAAACATAGAAATTACAAAAAAATATAAAAAATTATAGAAACTGCAAACAAAATAAAAATTATTTTCAAATTATAGAAACTATAGAAATTGAAAAACAAAATCAGAAAATAAAAATTGTAGAAAAAACACCAAAAATTATAGAAAAACACAAAAAATTGCAAATAAATAACAAAAAATACAGGAAAATTTATAGACTGTAGAAAATAGAAAAATGTAAAAAAAAACAGAAATTGTAAAAAACATTGGAAATTATAACAAAACACTAAAAATGCAAAAAAAAAAAAACAAGACAAGTGAAAACTGAAAAAGACCATTTTTCCTCTAACTCACCATTCAAGGGTAATTTGGTCATGAAAATTGTTATTTATGCTAACATGGACACCTCTGTTAAGAAGCATTAATGGTGCACTAACGGAAGGTGAGTTTTGGAAAATAAAACTTACTGACATGGTGAGTTTTAGACATTTTGAGAAGTTGTCGTGAGTTTAAGAGAAATGTTGAAAACTCATGGTGAGTTTTAGACAATTTCCCTATATTTCATTGTTTGTTTGATAGTGACATTTGTTATAAGTTAATCTGGAATCCTACCCAACTTAACATGCAGCATCCAAATGTGAATGCTCAAAGCAGATTCAATGTCTAATAATTGATCAAAAAAAAAAAAAAAGATTCAATGTCTAATAATAAAACAATGGATCAGATCCATTGATCAAATTGTTTGGATCCACAGATTTCATGTTTCACCTATTATTTATGTCATATTGCAGGGTAGATAAGGAAATGATGTGCATATCTAGATCCAACTGAGATTTGCATTGAACATTTAGGGTCCAAATCCAGATCAGATCCAATAGAGCCAAGCTTGTATACAAGCTAGCTTTCTAAAAACAGGTAGATACCCAATAAAGTCAATTATGGATCAGATTGCCTCTTAAATTTAAAATACTCCTTATCATGCTCTAGCTCTATTAACATATGAAGCTTTCTAATTTCTTTCTATAAACAAAAAGAGTCACTCACCCTTTATCTAGGGGAAGGTTGTGTTATTAAAATATTAGACATGAAATCTTCATAACTAAACATTCTAGAAGCATTAGGTAAAGATGAAATATCCATTACACATGGTATTCTTTGCTTTATTTTCCCCTTACTCTGAGTTGTAGGTAATTTGAGTCATGCATCAATAAGCCTACCAACATGCTGCCTGGGCTTAATAAGGCCCCCCTTTTTCAACCTATGATGGAACACCTCAGAACAGTATGGATTGAATGCAATTAATTGCTCCTTTAGTTCTATGTATCTCTACATGTCATTCCTGTATTCTTAAATGGTGGTCTGATTTCTACTGGCCCGCATAGTTTATCATGGGTCATTGCACCAAATTACAGTAGTTAGCTTGTTTCCTGACTTGATTGGTATCACAGTATCTACACCATGCAGAATTGCATTGACCTTTGCCAGTGATTCTTTTCTAAAAGGGAAATCTATTTTATAGCGCTGATTAGAATCTATAAACCACTAAAAAATTAGTGAGTATTTTACATCTTAATTGAGCAAGTCAACTTATGAAATACTAAACTGATTTACGAAAAACATTCTTACATTATATAGGACTAAGAACTCAACTCAACTAAGCTTTGTCCCAACTATATGGGGTCGGTTACTTGAATCCTGTTTCATCATTCCCCCCTGTTCAGTGCGATGTCCATTGTTAAATTATGAGTCCTTAAATCATTTCTCATTACTTCAACCAATGTTCTGACACGTAAAAACTATTAATTCAAATAGAAGTGAATCAGCGCTTAAATTATTTCTCACTATTTCAACCCATGTCCTAAAAGTAAGAACTACTAATTCAAATAGAACCAAATCAGTGAATACTTACATTTTGCAAGCTTGGAGATCTTCTGAGAAGTTTCGTGAATACCCAAAGCAATTCTTGATGCCTTTTTTCTGAATTCAGATAGAGATGAGATTGAGGCAGAGGCTTTTGACGCCTCAAGATGAGTCGTGGTTCCATTAACAGTTGCAATTCCTTCGATCTTCTTCAATCTCTCCGATAGCGAACGAAATTCGGACGTCCGATCTCTATAAGACGAGAAGCCGGAAACAGCCATTGAGATATAGGGTTCCACACGAAACCCTAAAAGCGCTCTCGAATAGGGCCAATGGGAAAATACGTTACTGGGCTGCGTTGGATCCAACCGAGATCAGTGAAAACACTTCAAAGCCAAGAAAGCTTTAGATTTCTAGACGGATTTCAGCAGAAGGAAGAATACAATATATGAAAATTCAAATACGGTGAACTTTCAATTCGCACGGTAGCCGGTGAGACGTAATTGTAGATAAAATTCCCTCTCACAGTCCCAGAAGCGGGAAGGCGATCGGAATGGATTCCGGTGGTTGAAAACACTCCGATAACAATAACAACCTATTTTTCTTAAGTAAAAAATGACGCGCGTACCGAAGGAGCAGTCTGTTTTCTGTTAAAGAGACAAAATGGGCTTAATCCAGAAGCCCATATTTGGACCAGCCCATTGGCTATCAGCCTTCCGATTATACGATGCCATAAGCCAGGACCTTTGGATATAGGTATCTACTTTTGATGCGTCTTCCCTTCGATAGCTATAAATATCATTTCAAATGATCTTGTCCCTTGGTACAGTACACACCACGGAGTTCTGAGTTTTTTAGGGTTTTCAGTCGTAGGTAGTAAATAGGAATTGGAGGTCAAAGAGACGGCCTTTGCTCTGTCGTCCGCCTTGGCAAAGTGTTCTTAGTTAGATTGTTTTCTAGTTGTTTTCTGAAACTCGATCTGTTGAGAAATGGCGGTGAAGTCATCGAAAGCTGACAAGAAGATTGCTTATGATAAGAAGCTGTGCGAGCTTCTGGATCAATACACTCAGATTTTAGTCGCGGCTGCGGACAACGTGGGTTCGAATCAGCTGCAGAATATCAGAAAAGGCTTGCGTGGTGACTCGGTCGTTCTCATGGGAAAGAATACCATGATGAAGCGTACCATCAGGATTCATTCTGAACGAACCGGGAACACGGCGTTTCTTAATCTTATCCCGCTTCTTGTGGTATGTTTGCGGTATCTTCTTCTTTTGGAGTTTTATTTTTTGTTTAATTCATAGCCAATTCGATGGTGCAGTATCTGCATTAATTTCGATAATTCTTATATTCCTCTGGGGTCAGGGGAACGTTGGCCTCATATTTACAAAGGGCGACCTGAAGGAGGTGAGCGAGGAGGTTGGCAAGTACAAGGTATCGTGAAGGCTAATCAGTACTCTTATCGTTGTCCCATTGTATATTCTTTTTTTTACCCTTGCTTGGTTGAGGCTTATTACTAATCTATAATTGGTTTCTGCTTGAGCTTTTATTTTCGTAAATGCCTTGAGAGAAGACCTGAGGGCTTATTCCTCCCATGGTGAACTGGAATGGCAAAATAGGATTGTATAAGAGTTGATTGGCTGCGTATGGAAGCAGCTTGGAATTATAGCGTGTTTCTTCAATTTCTGTTGTTAGTATTAGACCTTTAGTAGGAGTAAAAGCTATTGCAAATATTTTATGGCAAATATATCACTTTTTGCTACATGGGGAAGTGACTTCAGTATATTCTCCTCATGGACCAAGACCGGTGAATTTTTTCATTTTTTTGGATAAATGCAATAATACGGGACTCTTTTCTTATTTGCCAAAGTAACTTATTTGTTTCTCTTTTCTTCTTTTAGTTCAGTTCTCAATCACCTAGAAAGCTTTTTTATAACTTCAATTATTGGTTGTTTTTCTTGTTGTTTTGGGTACATAGGGCTAGAATTAACACTTGATAATTGTTTGGCTTGTTTTTTCTGTTTAATCCTTTCTGTCATTTTGGGAACTAGAACAAAAGCTTTACCCAAAACGAAAATACCATATACAGATAGGGAGCTTATCTGGTTGTTTTGAAAATTCTATGTTGTTTTTTATTTTATTTTATTGTTTGATGGTGGTTGTGGACATGGTGGGGGATATAATCAATTCTCTATTTGTTAAAGTTATGCTTGAGACATGGCTTGCAAAAAAAATAAAAATATAAACTTCTTTAGAAGAGAATACTTTTTGTAAATATTGAATGCCAATGTAATCCATTCAATCACTAATTTGATGAATGTGACTAGGTATAGCGTTTGGAGAAAGGTTTTCTTGTTAACATTTCATGATTTCTCTTTGTGGTGTAACAAGCACCCTAGGTCAGTGGGAGAACATTTGATTCGAGGATGTATCTCTTAAAGAAGTTCATCCACTTTTGCTTATGATCTGTCCTATGCTACGAGCAATGAGATGGCGCCGAAGTCAAATTGCTTTTTTTTTTCTTTTGCTTCAAACAAGTTCTGCTTTTTGGGTTGCACGTGCATGTATAATAGGTCTAATTTCAATGTTTTTTAAATAATATTCTTTCAATGCTAACAGGTTGGAGCTCCTGCTCGTGTTGGGCTTGTCGCTCCCATTGATGTGGTTGTCCCACCTGGGAATACAGGACTGGATCCTTCTCAAACTTCTTTCTTTCAGGTTATTACCTTTTTCAGTTGGATATTGTCTTCTTTTTTCCTGCCTTTCAGTGGCATCTAGATTCAAACAGATTAATCTTTTAGGTTCTCAATATCCCTACGAAAATCAACAAGGGAACAGTTGAAATTATTACACCTGTTGAACTCATAAAAAAGGGGGATAAAGTTGGGTCTTCTGAGGCTGCATTACTTTCAAAGTTAGGCATTAGGCCCTTCTCGTATGGCCTTATTATACAGTCCGTTTATGATAACGGCAGTGTCTTCAGCCCAGAAGTACTCGATCTCACTGAAGATGATCTGGTAGAGAAATTTGCAGCTGGTGTATCTATGGCCACCGCACTAGCCCTAGCAGTATCTTACCCAATGTTGGCAGCGGCTCCTCACATGTTTGTCAATGCTTACAAGAATGTCCTAGCTGTTGCGGTTGCAACAGATTACTCCTTCCCACAGGCTGAGAAGGTTAAGGAGTATTTGAAGGTATGAGCCCCTGTTTGAACTCTCCATCATCCTTTTTCCTTGTTCAATTTCTTCATCTTGAGGTTGAATGCATAATATTTTTTTGTGCTCGAAAAATATTGCAGGATCCATCTAAGTTTGCTGTTACAGCTGCTCCAGTTGTGGCTGCCGAGTCTGCTGCTCCTGCATCTGCCAAGGAAGAAGAAAAGAAAGAGGAACCTGCAGAAGAGTCTGACGAGGACATGGGTTTCAGTCTATTTGATTAGGTAATTTATACGTAGAGCTCAGGTTACAAAGTTATTTTGCGGTGAATGGGTTACTATTTTCTTTGTTCTTCAGAAAGTTTGAGAACGAGTCTATTTGATTTGATAAATAATTTTAATATTTTTTCTGGAAATGTGAGAACGACCTGGATTTTTAGCCAAACATTATCATAATAATATATACGCTACTCTGGAAGTGCAATATGTACAAAGCTTGCATGGGCCTATGGGGTGTGAACTTTGAAGATCATTTGGTTGATTCAGAAGGGAAAGTGCAGAGACTGTCGTTTCAAAGATTAATGGTTGTTACCGTGTGCTTTGTCTATCTGTACATTTTTTATGTAAAGAAAACCAGATATATTATATATATATATATATATATATTTAAGTTATTGTTATATAGTGATACATTTATTATCTACTTGGTCAAAACATGCGTATGTAGCCAGCCTATATGGCTAACTATTTTCATTTATACAGAATATTCACAATCCAAAGGGAGTCCAAGATATTCGAATACTTTCTAGGATTCCATGTTGACAGTTGAGACCAAGATCCTTCTGCACCCTTTATTTGCTTATTTGTTTTGCTCAATAAAAGCATTATATTAGCAACCAGAAATAGATACATAGTTTGAGACTGCTGGGATCCTGTCAGGGATGTAATCCAACCAAATACCGCGGCGGAGCCAGGGGGTGGCAGAAGGGGGCCATGGGCCCCCTATCCCTTAAAAATCTCAACAATGCCCGATTCAACTACACTTGTATTTTGGCCCATTACCCATGTTTAGTTGCTTACTAACTTTTGGGTTTTGGCCCCCCTCCATCCATATTTCTTACTTTTTGGTCCCCCTCTCAAGTCTCAAGAGAAAATCCTAGCTCCGTCCAATGACAAACTAAATTACGTTTAAGTATATTTTGCCATTTGATGGGCTAAAACATTGTACGCCTATTAACATGACAAAAAGAAACAAGCGGCTAATAGGCTTCTAATGTCAAAATACAAGGGAAAACATTGCCAAGGCAATGACTTATGGAGTGGTTTGTAGGAGGGAAGAGGAAGAGTCATCATGAGACTGCAGCATCAAAAAGAAACAAAACGAGTATTTGTAGGAGCCTGTAATGGGATCTTGAAGGGAAGAGGAAGAGTCATCATGAGATGAAGGCAAATTAGTGTTGCCTCCTCCTCAGGGTTGCATCAAAATCAATGTTGATGGATTCACTTTGTTACAAAATTGTGGGCTTGAGTCTCCTCTAAGCATTATCTCCGTCTTAGAAACCAGGATGGTGATCACGTTGCAAGGCTATCTCGATCTCTCGTATAATGATTGAAGCTTTTGCTTTATTTGCAAGTCTTTTCTTTACTTATCAAGCCCTTGTAATATGCTTACAAGTTATATAATTATATATTACAACCATATCAGTTCGTAAAAACCAAAAGCAATTGCAGTCCAATTGTAATCAGTATACAGACACAGACCCTATTATAATTAGATCTTTTCAGTTTGGGTCTATTGGTTCCATGACAGCCCAAATAAATGGTAGTCACCCTTCGTCTATCCATAACAATATTGTATATAAGAGGGTCCAAATTACAATTAACGATTTATGAGAAACTCAAGCCAACTGAGTTAGACCTAGAACAAAGCAAATCAACCAGTTAACCACTATTGAATGGAAAAGAAAAAATTAAATAAATTAGGAAATCAGATGCTAAGAAATACATGGCTAAATAAGTTTTAAGTCAACAGAAATACAAGGTCTGATGTGGGTAGCCCCACTCTAGATATTCAAATTAGAAAGATGGCTCACATCCTTTTTCTCAAATTTAGTCCTATCTAATTTTCCAAGTCAAATAAAAAGCTTAACTCAGACTTGTAGGACTTACTTGGATCTTAAACAAGATAGATGTGGGTCTCATTTTAGATTTAAAATATGTTGTTTAATCACGGTTCAGACGTAATTTAGATTCCTAAATCAGTCAAATACAAAGCCCAGTCCAAAAGGATGACAAGACATAGGTCGTGCATAATTGATCCCGATTCATTAACTTGTCTAGCATGTATTATTTATACATGATTTTTTTTTCGATTAAGATATGTTGTAATGGGATGAACGCTTTTGTTCAACCAACCTCTTAAGTCTTAACTCCTAAATCACGTATTTTGTTAAATCCCACTCCCTCTACGAAGCTGACACGTAAGGTCATCAGTCATGACCTTCTATGGAAAAAAGGGGTCCAGTCTCAATGGGTTTACGGCCATTTCTAAGTTCACAGGGCCCAAGCCCAAACTGATACAATTCAAAAATAATAAATTCAGCCCAATAATATAATTTGAGTTGACTTGGGTTTGGTTGCATCAGGACAAGTTTATTATTCAACTACAAACCTAACCCAACCTAAACTGACCCAACCCTCTCCGTTAAATTTCAATCTAAGCACAATTTAGCTTGGGTTTGGACGGTCTGTTCCGGTTTTTTCTTGAGAACCAAAATGCATATAATACGGTCAGGACTTGGGAATAGATGGGCCCATCCCAGACAAATTTATTAGGTAGGGATTATGATAAGATCATTTGGTCCATCTGTCAACTAGTTATTTTTATTTTACATTAGGTTTCTAATTTAGATGAATTGGTCTATCGTTTGATTTCCTTTTGTGGAATTGAGGATCTCAGCTATGTAATTAAATTGGATCCGAACATTATATGTTAGTTAATAGACAACTGATTTACAAAATATACATCTTTGTGAAGCTAGCACGACTTGACTTAACATTAATGATAAAGGCTTCAGCCTAAACCCAGGTCTAACGAAAGATGATTTAAGGAATCATGGTTTGAGCTGGCAGAACTTTGGGCCCATGTACTGAATGGCTTTGGGCCTATGGTTCAACAAATAAGTCATGGGCCTAATTTCATTCTTAGACTTGGTTTGGGTTGACTTATCATTCTGAACAATATTATATATATTATGTATTATATATTTAATTATATATTGTACTATATTACAGATGGGATGAGATCCGGGCCAGGCCTCAAGTGTTGGGCCCAAGCCCAGGTCGGGTTGGGGCTTTACACAAAAATCAAGGCTTGAGCCCAGAAATTTACAGACTGGGCTGTGCTGGATAGGGGTTTTCTAACAATAATAATACCCCACATCAGCCATTCACATTAAGGGAGGGATCGAGAGATTGTGGAACATGTACACTTTGTGGCTGACGTGGGGATTACTATTGTTTATATAATCCCCTAACACAAGCCAAATGTACAGTCAATCCGAATTCATCAGGAACCTCCATGAATTTTGAGGAATACCAGTTGAATGGTTACAGCTTCTATGATATCGACTGATTGGTTATCAGTTTTTAGGTATCTTGCCCATTTCCGTATTATAGTGGGACTCGGTCTGTCTATCATGGTTTTTCTGGTGCTATGGAGTAAATTGCTTTTTAGAAAAATAATGAAGAATTGTATAGACCATAAAAAACTTATGTATCTATCGGCAATTCTAAAATGTTAATATCAAAACACTATTGTGCCGAAAAGTGTTTTGGTTGTTAGTTTGCTTGACCAACTTGAAGACTATGCGAGGGTTCCTATTGGAATAAGAACCCATCCTTTGAAACAAAAATCTTTTTTATCTCAGATGCTAAAGGTAGGGTGGCATCTCCTTTATGCCTTTACGCATGGTTTTTCGAACCGCCGTTGATCTAGACGGTCAGACTGTTTGGCTTAGGAACTGTTCAGGTAATGGGTTTCACTTTATCCCAAATTCGGTTCTTGGCCAAAAACTATTGAATCGGTCAATGATTCATTGACTCAGGCTGTTGAACCATCGACCCGTTAATCTATTCAACAGTTTTTTGGCCGGTTTTTTATTTTTAACTATTTTAACTATTTTTTTTTTATTTTTTTTTAATTTTTGTTGTCAGAATGGGCCATTTGTTCAAATCAGACGGTCAAACCGTCGACCTGAAAACCAGTGGACAGGATGGTTCCATTTCCGGGTTATTTTTTTAAACCATGCCTTTATGGCTGTTGTCAGGTAAGATTGGGATAGGATCCGATCACATTGAATTTGAGTCCGACTCAGTTGTTATAAAATATAAACCTAAAATCAAATTCAATTGGGAATTTTATTGGATCATGAGGTCTTCGATTGGATTTGGATCCTATTGAATTTTGAAATTCAATACAAGTTATTTCATCATCTTTAAGATAAAAAAAAATTATAAATAAATAAATCACACATTGGCTTATGCTTATAAAATAAATTTGTATGAAAATAAATGGGCAGTTTGGCAAGTCTTTTTGGAAAGATCTTCTGGTATCTCTGACAGTCAAAAGACGCAGTGAACTTTTGCATTAAGATCTTGACAGCAGGAAGATCGTTTGGTTCAGGTGTGTCTTTCCACGAGTCTTTCCACGTGAAGATGAATCGAAAAATACTGAAAAGCTCCATTTGGAGCTTCCCTAAATCATCCCAAAACAGGCTTCTCGCGTCTTTTCAGGACATGATCTTTCAACAGCTAGATCTACTACGAACCAAACGGGAAAAGACTGAATCACGGTATGTTGGGCTTATAAATAGTTGACAGATCGTGTGGAAAGATGTGCCAAATAAGGCCAAAGTTGATGCTGTCTGATCTTGTAGATAAGGGCAAACCTAGAAATTTGCCACAAACATTGGCAGTTGAGGGCCACATATAAGTTATAATCACAAAGAAATGTTAGAGGCCCCAGGGTGAGATCGTGAGAGGACGAGCTGATGGGCTTGATGACGGATGTGAGGTGCAAGATGAGATGAAATGTGTCAAGGTGATAGGGAAATGGATGTATAAGGTCTTTGAGGCTATGTTTGGGAGTGCTTAAAAATAAATGTTTATTTGGGCCATTAAGCATTTATTTGTATTTGGGAAATAAGCTTGAAATAAGTGCTTATTTTAAAAATAAGAGTTTATTTTTTAAGCCCAAATTTTCAGCTTTTTTAAGTGCTCCTACAATAAGTATTTATTCAATTTTTTTTCCATAATTGTCCTCGATAAATTTTTAGAATACTAATTATACCCTTTTATAAAGACACTTTTACAAAGACACTTATAAAAGCAATTTTATGAAAAGTACTTTTACAAAAACACTTCCACGAAAGTACTTTTATGAAAGCACTTTTAGGAATGTACTTTTACATGAAAGCATTTTTAGGAATGTACTTTTACATGAAAGCACTTTTATAAAAGCACTATTTATGAAAGTGTTTTTGCAAAAGCACTTTTATAAAAGTACTTGCATATTTGTGAAA